ATGCACCTGTGGATGCACGACAAGGTCCGGTTAGCCCTGAGGGCAACGAGACTGCACAAATATAACCGAGAATTTCCCTATGGATTCCCCCTCACCTCCTTTCTTGTCTTTTGGCAGCTCTAGGGTGACACAGAGGACAGAGTTCCCTGGTCGCCTGCAAATCTCAAGGTAAGTTTAGGGAACTAGCTATTGTAAAAATAGAGAGGTTTTTATCCCTTTGTACACTGAGCAAAATTTGATCCAAAAATTGCATACTAAACCCAGAACCCCACAGCTTCACTTAAGTCGCCTTTCAGAGAAGAGTAGTGTCTGGTAAAAAAAAAAGAAAAGAAAAGAGGGAAGCGACATATATTTGGTCCTCCATTATAAAATGATAAAACAGTGAAACATTTTGAAAATCTTTAAGTTACATAAAATGAAAACATCCTCACTGCCAAGTTTGAAGCCTAAACACTGTACAAGGACCTTGAAGGTGAGACCAAGTACAAGCAAAAAAAAAGGGACCAGCCCGATTCACACTGTCCGCACTGAAAGAAGCGCCAAAGTCAACAAAGCCGAGGAAGCCTGAGGAATGGCACTGTGATATCCAAAAGTTTGTCTAAGTCTATCCCAAGCCTGCAGTTGACGCAGTAAAAGATATCACCCACAAAAATCCTTGCTTCTTGCAAAGTGAACAAAAAGACACATACACTGGATTTAAAAAAGAAAAAAAAGACAAAACTGATCCTTTTAGTGATCCAAGTTCTTATCCATAAGACAGACAAAAAATGCATTTCTTTAAAATAACTAAAAATCAGGTGTCTAGTGACTGCTTGATAAGTTGTAGCTTTCCTCTGTAATTAACCATTTTACTGAAAAGCGACAAGGGACGAAATACCCCATTGATGACATCAGGAATTATCAAAGATATGAAGAAAGTAGGTTTCAGCAGATTGGATATCAGGAGAAACTTCTTCACTGTTAGAGCAGCGAGGCGGTGGAACAGACGGCCGCGGGAAGCTGCGGAGGCTCTGTCACTGGTGGTGTTCAAGACAAGAACGGGGATGATCTAGGTATAGCTATGCCCATGTTCTGCTATGGGTATTCGCTATGCTTTTGGGCTTTGCCGGTAGCCACATGGGGCTGGAAGGGCAGTCCCCTGCTGCCCACTCCATCTTTGCTACTACACGTGTCAGGGGGACTTTTTTTAAATCTTCTGCAGAGGCCCTGGGTGGTGGCTGCAACCAAGGCTGGGGATTTTGACTGGGGTGTGCCGGGATTTAAAGCTGAAGGCTCCCAGCTAGACGATCTTACCCCTCCACTCCACATCAGACCAATGCCAGATTTAGGGCCAGGAAGGAATTTAATCCCAAGGTGAGATTGGTATGGACTGTGGGAGGGTTTGCCTTCATCTGTGTGTGTGTGGGGGGGGGGGGGGGGGG